TTTTTTGTTTTTTTGGAGGGAATTTTGTAGGATTTGGGACCTTTTGGGGGTTGGGAGGGATTTCTGGGGTTTGAGCTTTTTTTGGGGTTTTGGAGCCACTTTGGGGCTGCAAACTTGGGGACTTGGGGGAGGTTTTCAGGCTTGGAGTCGCTCTGTGGGGCTGGGGTGAATTTTTAGGATTGGGGGGGTCCCTTTTAACCCCAAATTTTTATTTTTCCTCCCCCCCAGGATCCCAAATCCCCCCCCTCTCGCGTCGCTTCCAAATCCCCGACCTGAACCAACCCCGCTGAACCCGGGGCGTTTGTTTTGTTTTCATTTTTAATTTAACAGCCCTGCAATTAATGAATAATAAAAATGAAGATTTTCCTCCCTCGGGGTGGGGTAAATCCCTGGGGGCGCCCGGGGTTGCTGGGATGGTTTTGGGGCGGGGGGGCGGGGGGGCCGCGCCGTTTCGGGCCCTATAAGGGCAGCGGATCCCGAGCCGTGACTCAGCCCGGATTCCAAAATTCCCAAATTCCAGACCCGGGGGGGGGGGGATGACGTCACTGCCCCCCCCTTCCCAGCCCAAATTCCAGCCGGGATGAGATCACCGGGATGGGGCCGGGGGGTTCGGGAGAATTTGGGGGATTTGGGGGAGGGGGTTTTAAAGAAGGGGAAAATCCCCAAAAACAAAGTCCTGGGGGAGGGAGGAAATCCTGAAATAATTCGGGGAGGGGGGGGAACAAATCCTGAAACCAAAAAAAATTCAATAAAAATAAATCGTAAAAAAAAGGGGGGGAAAGCCCCGCCCCCCCCAAAATGGAGGGGTGGGGGTGACCCCAGGGTGACCGCGGGGGTCTCTGCAGGTGAGGCCTCAGGTGTGACACGGGGGAGACACCTGTGGGGGAGGGGGACGGGGGACACGAGGGGGCACAGCTGGGAGCGGGACACTTGTGGGTGACACCTGTGGGTGACACTTGTGGGTGACACCTGTGGGTGACACCTGGGACGGCCCCTGCAGGTGTTGGGGACACGGGGGGGTGGCCCAGGTGTGGCGCAGGTGTCACCTGTGTCCCCGTCACCTGCCCAGGTGTGGGACACCTTTCGTTCCCACGCGGCTCTTGCAGGTGTCCCTCGTGTGACGTCATTGGG